TGAGCTCAGCAGCGGACGCCAGCCCCTGGCACCGCTTTCCGGGGGGTTCAAGCCATCTTCACCCATGGTTCTTCTCCCCTGGGAGAGCCGTGCTCGAGCTCCGGCACATCCTTGCAGCGGGAAGGGCCCAAAAGGATTTTAGGCACTGAGGGGTCCTCTAAAGCCACCCCAGCCTGGCCGTCCTTGACGTCGGTGGGACCAGAGCTGGAACGTGGGTGCGGGAGCTCCAGGGGTGGTGTGAAGGCACCTCCGTGCCTCTTCAACGGCCCTTTCGGTAGGGCCAGGAGAGGAGATGAGGTTGGGAGCAGCTCAAGGCAATTAACAGCCTGACGAGCAATTAAGGGTGGAGAAGCCCAGGAGCTGAGTCCTGACGAAAGGAAAGGCCTGGGTGGGATGAATCACGGTTTGGAGATGCTGATCTCGCTCTCTGCTGGTGGCAAGAGGAAGCCTGGGGCTGGGTTTGGTCCTAAACCTGGAGGTGAAGCTGAAGATCCTGGAAGGGCAACTGTCCCAGCAGATCCACGGAGATCTGGTCTGCGGCGATCCTCACCAAAGAGGTTGTGGGCTTGGGGAGCCCATCTGTGGAGGCCTGGCCCATGGAGATCCCATCCCATCCCATGGAGGTCTGGTCCACCGAGACCTAATCCACCAGGCTGATTTCCTCCCATGGAGATCTGGTCCACAAAGATCCCATCCACCAGGGTCCTGTCCACCAGGATCCCAGCCAGTGGAGGTCAGGTCCACTAAGATCCCATCCATGGAGGCCTGGTCCCTGAAAATCTCAGCTACAGGGATCCTGTCTGTGGAGATCCTGTCCGTGGAGTGGTCAGCTGCAGAGATCGTCCCCTCCATGGGGATCCGTCCTACGGAGCGCCTGGGCCGTGGCTGATCCTGGGGGAGAGATGCGGTGGGCAGAGATCTCAGCCCCTGGGATCCTGTCCATGGAGATGCCACCCACGAAGGGACAGGACGCGGAGATCCCGGGCCACGGAGGTCAATTCCGCAAGGCTTCAAACCACCCGGGTCCCATCCTTGGGGATCCCCTCTGTGGGAATCCACCCTACAGCCACCACCAGCCGCGGTGATCTGGTCCACCGAGATCCCATCCACGGGGATCCCGTCCGTGGGGACCTGCTCTATAGACACCCTTGGCCGTGAAGGTCCACAGAGATCCCATCCCCGGGGATCCCTGATCCCCTGGGGACTGGGGGGACGTCGCAAGGTGACCCGGGGGCTCCCAAGGGGAAGAGAGATCCTGGGTGGGGACAGGGGACACGTGAGGGGAGAGGAGAGCTCGTGGCGGGGTGACGTGAGGGACACGAGGGCACGTGAGGGGACTCGGAGCTCGTGAGGGGACACGGGGGGGAGCCCATGAGGGGACATGGGGAGACCCAAGGGGACAGCGGAGCATAGGAGGGGACAGGAGGGGACACAGGGCCACATGAGGGGGACAGGGGGGACCATGAAGGGACACGAGGGCACGTGGGGGGGTCATGAGGGGACAGGGGAGCAACACGATGGGGATGCAGGCAGATGAGGGGACGTGGGGGGACATTAGGGGACATGGAGGGATGTGGGGGACCCAGGAGCCCACAGGGGGACTTGGGGGGGGGGACACATGAGGGGACACAGGGCACATAAGGGGATAAGAGGTGACATGGGGGGGCCACGAGGGGATGTGGGGACCCAGGGACACAAGCAGGGCCATGGGGACGCCCCGTGGGGAGCCCATGA